ATGACAACACCTCTAGATAGTTACAGCATCACATGACGTAAAAGCTTTCATACATAAACATCAGGAAATTCTTGTAAGAAGCAAAAGGTCGCCAGATAGGAAGTTAGAGAGAGAGAGAGAGAGAGAGAGAGAGAGAGAGAGAGAGAGAGAGAGAGAGAGAGAGAGAGAGAGAGAGACAGAGAGAGAGACAGAACAGACAGACAGAGAGAGAGAAAAGGAGAACGAAAAACCTACTTTCGGTTTCCTCAGCGCACAAGGCCAGGCCAGAGGCTGTGTGCGCAGCACCAGGTCTTCATGTGGGATTCCCCGCAGTGACGTCAGGGACACCTGCTCTCTGTTGCCGTAGTCGATGAAGTAGACACGAACCTGCAACAGCCCACAACAGACACACGCATGATTAATTAACAAAGGACGGACACAAACAGGAGCTTTGTCAGCTCTTTACAGTGAAGAATACTCAAACAAACACCTCCCGCTGTATCTCTTTCTCTCAGTCTGTCTTTCTCTTTCTCCTGTCTTTTTCTTGCCCTTACCACCTGTCTGTCTGTCTTTCTTTCTCTCTCGGCTTGCCTTCCATTGTATCTCCTCTCTCTCTTCTGATTTGGTTAACGTTCCTTTTCATTCTCCCTCCCTATGCTTATTTCAATAGTTCTTTTTTCCTTCCTGACTCTATCCACCTGTCTTTTTTTTTCCATTTTCGTTACCTCTCTCTCTTCTTGTCTTCATTTCTCTCTACCTTTTCCTCTTTCGAACGGTCAATTTTTTCCTCCCTCTCTCTCTTTCATTTCACCCCTCACCCCTTCCTTTTCTCTCTTTCTTTTTCTTCCCTTACTCCTTCTACCTCCCTCTGTCTCACTCCCTCTCTCTTCGCATCTCCCTCTCTCACTGTGACAACTCACCACATCTGGTTGGACGGCGTCCACTCTCGCCCTGTACCAGCCTCCCTCGTAGTGGGCAGCCACCAAACCCCCGACCCCGACATCCTTCGCATCAGCTATGGGCAGGTTCTGAAAAAACACACAGCGTAGAGTGAAATGAGTTATTTTTTCAGCTCCAAATTGGCAACAATACGTAAACAGCTGATCAAAATTTTGACTGTTGGAAATGAAACAATTACGAAGGAGTCTGCTTAAATCAAACACGATTAATAAACAAAAATGGCAGCCACATCGAAAGAACACAGAATCTCCTTTTTAGACCTGCATGTGAGCCTCAACCAGATTGTCTGAAAATTTTGCGCAACCCCCCCCCCAAAAAAAAAGCCTTTGTGGGTATCATAAGGAAGGACATCCGACTAACGAGCGACCACCCCAACAAACACAATAAAGAAGAGACCTAACCCTAACCCCACCCCCAAAAAGAACCTGCAACAGGCCTCATGTAAAAAGGCCAAAACAAGTCCTAATTCCTAAATGAAAAAAAAAATTAAAATTAAAAAACCACACTCCAAAACAAACAAGGAGCATATAGATCTAGATCTATATGGCTTACATCTACATTGCTGTAGGGTTTGATACAATAACACAATAGAATTGGAATATGAATCCTCCTTATAGATCTAGTAATCTAAATAAATCTAGATCTAGATCTAGATCTTGTAGAACAAGTGGATAGGAATAGGCCTTGAACTAGAAATCCGCATCCGATTCCGAACAGAGGGACTCAGCTGAGTCTAGATTCTAGATCTAAATAAATAAATAATTCACGCACCTGATGAAATGCTTATTTTTACCAATATTAATATTACAGCACAACCTATGATAGGGTTTGACACAATAGAATTGGAACATGAATCCTCCATTGAGGTCTATAATGATCTATATAAATCTAGATCTAGATCCTATTAGAACAAGAGAGTTGGACTTGAATAAATCCACACGATCTGAACAATTAAATTAGTCAACAAACGAAATTCAAAATGGCCGCTCGAGCACGAAACTGAAAGTAGATAATTTAGGTTGTCGTCCTTTTTCGTATTCGCATTTCTACTCAGGTTCCGACAATTATGTCGGAAACGCCAACGTCGGCAGTCGGCGGTGCGCGTGTTGGCGGTCGGCACGAAAACGAAAGTGCCGACAAAGCCGACGGGAGAAAAATGGGTCGCTGGCAGTCGGCCAGGCCTCGCACTACGCACATTGACTGATACAGGCGGGCCTAGCGATAGCATCGGCCGGTTCGCGGGTCGCGTCGCGATTGTCGGATTTCAGACGATTGTCGGCAAACATGCAGGTCTACCTTTTTTTTTTTCACTTTATGATTCCAGCTACCTCTTTAACTCTTTATCTCAGTGGGGGGTAAACCCACTATGTCTGGGCCCTATTTGATACGAAATCTAAAATTGACATTATATGTCACTAAACTGGTCAATAGATTTGAAAAAGTGAACTTATTTCGATAGTTCTTCATCTAATGAATGATCTCCATATAAAAAAGACTTGTTTTTGGCAATTGCAGAAAAGTAATTTGATGTCGAAGTCGTCGTAATGCGCCCGAGCCACTGCCAGCAGCTTACCGGCACAGCGTTTCTGACCGCGAGCCGCCGGGAGCAGTTTGCCAGAGACAAAGACTTACACCGAAAAAATTGCTAAATTGAAGAATATCAGACAGTCCCACAGATTTCAGTCTTCATAGACTCCATTGTACACTGTACTTTTCTCACAGCAAAAATAAACAAGATGCCAAAATTTTGAAAGCACTGTTGGAAATGAGTCCACTTTTATTTTTTTAAAACAAATATTATGCACAAAAAATACACAGAATATCGGGTTTTAAAAAAGGGAAGAAGTGTGCTTTTCAACGACAAAATTTTTCAAAATATATGTGACAATAAATTTGGAAACCAAAAGTTGGAAATAAATAGTTTTGTTTTGTTTTTTATAAAAGGGCAAATTTTAATACAAATATACAGGAGACCCAAATTTTGATAGACCTGCAAACAATTCTGAACTCCACATGAGATATTAGAGCACACTTTGAAAGAGAGACAGAGAAAGAGTGTGTGTGTAAGTGTGTGTGTGTGTGTGGGGGGGGGAGAGAAGGAAAAAGAGAGGGGAACAGACAGAGTACCAGATAGAGGAAAGTGAGGAAGAGAAACAGACAGAGACAGGAGAGGCATGAAGAGAGAACAACTCAACTACTCACGGGGCATTTCTGGCCGAGAATCTCGTCCACTTGGTACACCAGGTCCTCACTCTCCGCCGACTGGAGATACAACTCTTCCGCAGAGTACGCAAAACTGAACAAAACCGTCAGCTCATTCCTGACGAAATAAACATTTTTTTTTAAAATTTAGTTACAGAGGGTGGTTGGCAGGTGCTCTTATGTGGTTTGCTCCTTCTTTCCTATAAGAAAAAATCTATTGTCTCTATTTCCCCTACTTCTTTTATGTGTTAGTTACTCTCCCGTAACACCTCTAATCTTCTGTACTTATATGACCTTATTGTGTTGCAAGTGTCGTAAAATGCTTACTAAAACTAAAACTTATTTTCAGCTGAACATGCCAAAAATGGCCACTCAAGATCTCTGAGAAAAGTAGATGGCCACTGAGGACAGGGTAAGAGTTATGCACACTTACTTAACAAGATAAAGTCAACAGATTGTCTAAATAAAATCTGAAATTTCTATTTCATTTCCATTAAAATATTGTAATCCATCATATGTTCTTTGCACTGATTGAATGCACAAAGTATGAGGGTGGGTTTGCCAAAAACTGAAGTGACTGCTCTGAGGTTTTGAAGCCGATTTGTCACTAAAATGACTGCCCATGGTCGCGTTTGACGGAGACCGTCACGGACACGTTAAAGATAATAGGAAAAATGAACAGGTGTCAAGGAACAGTGGCTGTTTGTGCAGGTGCCCGTCATGGAGATGTGACCCCTAAAGCAGGTTTGACTTGACTGTATTTATTGTCTCTTTCCTTGCCAGAAGGGTTTCCATGCATGTGGCTGACAAGCTTGATGCCAAAAAAACAGGAAAAAGTTCATTTCAAATGTTTCAAAACCTGCTTTTACAGCCATCTGTCAAGACCATCATCTGAACAAATGACTGCTTCCCTGTTGCACTTTTTCTGCATTATAATGACACTGATCAAGACTGCCACCTAAAGTGGCCATCTTGGACAATTTTGACTGTATAACAAAAAATCAAGAAAGTGTGTCGTTAAGAATTTACTAAAATATAGTAGACAGCTTTTGGAATATGCAAAAACACATATTCTTATTCGTCTGAGAGGAAAAGAGTCGTATCAACATAACTTTAGTCATTATCAGATGGGGAACACTGCAACATCGAGCAAGACAGACCCAAGAGAAAATGAAACGGTGCTAGACCTACCAGACAGACCCTCTAGCTATCTAAGACAAACAAAAGCAAAAGTATTTAACAGAAGTGCCTTCCTGCCACCCACAAAGACTGACAGAAACATTTTTTTAAACTTGCCAGAATCTCCCTTCGACCACCAGTACACAGACAAACAACAGAAGTAAAGAATAGAAAAACCTTCCAGAAGCCCCCTCCAACAACCCGTAGAGAAAACTACAGTCAATTCAAATCTGCACTAACCGATCATTCCCCCACTTAACCCCTTACTTTTGGTTTTTTAAATATAATGTTGTCCAAGACATCCACCTGTCTGAGACAAACACTGTTATCCTTGACAAATGAAAGCCCTCTTGGACAATTTGGACATGCATTATAGTAGATCGTTGACTAACCAGTCAACTTAAGAACCGAAACGAAAATCTCGACGTACCCTATGGCAGGTAGCCTCAACTGCGGCACTGGTACCAAGGAAGGCATGTTGGGGGCAGGAGAGACTGTGTCCGTCGTCTTCATGAGAGAGGGAAGCTTATCTGCCGCAGACAAGATCGGGTAAATGACTGCACGGCCTGTGATTCTGTGGAGGAAAATACATAGAGAAGTGTACATATATGTAAATTGTTGGATGGAGTAAAGTGATGCACATGCGATATGGCACGGACGCGCACACTATCTATCTGAACAGAAGAATTTTATTAAACCTAACAAGAGTTCTTGGCACCTGTGTGGATATGTACTAGAGGTTTTTAGCCCTATCAAACATTTTTATTTTCGTTTATGAACCTCGGTAAATCCCTAAAAAATGAAAATGTTTAGACTATTTGCAAAGAAATAGAGCAGACATTTCAATGTAGGCAAGCCCAGTCAGGGATACCCAAAGTTACCAAATAAGAGTGCGTAAAAAAAACCCCAAAAAATTACGTTAAGTGAGACAGGTTAGTATATGAGATATGATGGTTACAGTCACAGTGAAGTTGCCGAATCTATTGCTAAGCTACGCTTGAATTTAGAAGAGTGCTTTCCAACCCAGGCGGTTAATTTGGTAGATCTGGTGAGAGGTGTAGATAACCCTGATAGTGACAGATGTATTTAATGCCTTTCTAGAAAATTCATGTAGGTGGGCAGTACTGTAAATCTTAACCACTTAAAGGTGGCAAAAGTGGGTTCCGGCTATAAAATGGCTGACAAGCACTGCTTCAGATAATGATACAAAAGACGACTAAACACTCACGGTTGCTCCACGTTGAAAAAGTCGGACCACGGCTCCAGGGACTCAGGTGTTAACTGGAAGCCTAGGCTCTCTCCGTACGTCTGCTCATACAACTGTGGGATGGCCCGCGCCCACAGTCCACTTTCTGTCAGTAGCTAGACACAAAAATACACAAAGAACTCAAAACTCCATCCATTTTTTAAAAAAGCACAAAGCACTCGTTTCATTAAAACTATCTTTCGGACAGTGATTTCCTTTCTAAGATAACAAGTCAATTTCCTTGATCAACACACACATTTTCCAGTTGCGGCAAAGAAAGACAGAAAGAATGAGTACATGAAAGAAGGGATGAAATTTGTACAAAATGTCATTATCATGATTAGCCAGATTTTAACCATTTAGCAGGTGACAAAGTATTGCCGACCACCCTGCAATGAATGCACAGAGATAATGGCTGAGTGAATGAAATGCACAATCTGGCAGGTTTCTAATTTAACTCATTGCTGGGAATTACCATAAATATCCGGAATTTATCCAGTCCAAGACACTACAAAAGCAAAAACCAATCCCTTGCTACAGAATATCGGGAGCCCTACACAACTGCATCTTTTACAAATGCAGTTGATAATGACGGGGGGAGGGTGGGGAGCAAGTATAGAATTTTCAAAAATGACTGATTTCTGTAAAAGTACAGAAGATTGGAAGCACTGGATTAGTCCTACAAGCCCTCCCCTTTGTATAAAATAAACGAATTAATACAATTTTTAAAAGACAAAAAAAAAAGTCTCACCGACCAAACGACAATCCTATACAATCTCCCCTCCCCCACAAAAAAAAAATTTGTTTATAATCCAGAAACAAAAACAAAACCGTACAACAATTCTAAACTCACCTTAAACAGTTTCTCCATGACCTCCGCGGTACAACCACCGGTGCCAGACGACCGTTGATCAGACGAGCCACCAGCCGCGGCGCCCCGCCCTTCCAGTTCATCATTGGACAAGCCCGCCGCAGCGTACCATGGCCCACTCACGGGCACTTCTGCCGGCGACAACGGCTCCACTGTCGTTCGTGACCTCGCAGGAGAAGGTGAAGGTGAAGGTGAAGGCTGGGCTGTTGCCGAGGTTGGTGAGCTCTCCGTCTGTACCAGAGACTGTAGGCCGGACTGTGCCAGCCATGGAGGTGTAAAGTTGGCCACAGGCGTCTCGCGGCTCATGTCCCCCAGGACGGAGGAACTCTTTTTGCTGTCCTCTTTGGAACCCAGAACTGGTGTGTGGGGAGGGCGACATAAAGGGAAAACAATTAAGGAGGGTGACCACAACAATCAGAAATTGTGATAGCTAGTGTCTTGTGCCCCCATCCAAATAATTTAGCTCCTAAAGGAGTCCGGCTGCTTTGAACCTGCCTGTCAGCACCCACCCAGGTTGTTTTTAGTAGTTTTAGTAAGGTTTTATGGCACTCGCAAATGCATAAGGTCTTATGAGCACCAAAGGGTGGATGTCAACAGAGATGACTAAACGGGGAATCAGGCTTACTCTGCTCACCTCTCTAGCCTCAACAGCACAAAATCTGCTTCCACAATCAAGGCACCGCGGAAATAGCAGTTACTAAGAGAGTGACAAAAATACAAAAGAAGTATAAGAAAAATTACGATAGTAAGGATGAGGAAAGAAAAAGCAGCAGTTCCCATGTTGTTCTGGCACAGTATGAGCATGACATTGATAAATCAGCCCATTAAAAATTCTAATGTGCATACGAATATGTTAATATCCCCCCTTTGGGAATATCCTAAAGAAACTTCAGTCAATAGCACTGCCGGGGGGATGGGGGGTAGGGGGGGGGGGGGGGGAGAGCACCCAAGTTCCCAAGTTGAGAGTAATACAGCATTCCAACAGACAGAGATACTCACATTTTGGGAATCTTAATTCATGTCTTTTGCATGCGCTGATGAGGAGCTTAACTTAACAGCAACACCACTAAATCCATTGAAAACAGTAAATTAGACCAACAAAAACAACACAGGGGGAAAAAGAAGAAAGACCTACCAATGGCCCCCCCTCCAATCACCAACAACATTATCAAATAAAACGCTTATCTGGGTACTACATCCCTTTTCAACATAGTTTGGTATGCTTGCGAGAAAGCTGGGAGTGTTTCAGAACATTTTAGAGCCTGTCGATGACAGTAAAAAATTGTCAGTGCAGTACATTCCAGAAGGGATATATGCGCTATATTATCATAATCATCATTACCAGTCTAAATTTAAATTTAAGATACCATTGAACCAACATCCACCTCTAAAAGGAGGTGTTTTTTTTCTCCCCTCTAAGTTTTAGGCAAAATTTTATAGCACTTGCAACACAAATGGGTTATAAATCATCAAAAATTAGAAAAGTTACTAATGAGTAACATACAAAGAAAAGGAGGAAAGGTAAGGACGACAGACGTTTGATAGGAAACACGACAGAGGCAACAAAGTGTTGGGGCAAAGCAACACAGACAGAAAGACAGAGGGACAGTAAAAAAGAACATCTATCAGTGGTGAACCTTGCAACCACACACACACAAGTTGGTCATGCAACAAAACTTAGTTTGTCAATTTACGGTTTAGAAGAATAAAATAGCGATGCATTTCATAAACAAATTCTATGGAAGTCCGGTAAAAAAAATAATAAATATCCAGCCGAACCACAAAAAAAAAATTGTTTAATTGCAAACCATCCCATCGCAAGCGAAGATATATGCCCTTTGGTATAGGAGAGATGTAACGGCTTTAGCGACTTACGTGGAATTTTGTTCTCAATGCAGAAGGACCTGGCAGCATTCTGTCTGGCCTCCTCCTCCGTTCTCAAGATTTCTGAAACAACATCACAAAAAAATACAAAGGCTATAGACGTAATACAAAATTGTAGAAGTTTTATGCCTAAATCAACACTGTTTAGATCATTTAGGAGGCTGGCTGCTTCCACGTTGCCTGTCAGGGCCAACGCGGGCTGAGAGAAATACAACCCAGAAGAAAGATGGACAAACTCAATAAAAATTCTCCCCGCATTGGAATTGAACTCATGTTTCTTGACTGTGTCAGCAAAGTGCCTAACTACAACATCACAGGCACCGGTAAATTCATAGATAGAAAAAAATAAAAATGCTTTCAAGGGTCACAGTTGATAATCAAAGTTCACAGACCATCATCAAAAGTCACAGGTGATTTCTTTTTTTGTTTGTTTCAAATAAATAAATAAATTATCAGCCACAACCACAAAGTTATTGAATGCACACTACTTTTATGGTGTACTCCACAAAAAATTTGGCCCAGTCATGAGCTAAGATATCTTAAAAAAAACAACAGAACAGAAAAACGACTGCAGTAAAGAGCGATTTGAATTTCAACATTTGTGAGGCAGCGTGGTGGAATCAGGCTCTCGTCAATCTTTGGGCATATTGAGTTATTTGTATCATCTTAAAGCTTGTTCATTAGTCTTGCTTTCAATGAAAAAAACTACCCATCCATCTTCAATAGAAGTGGAGATATTTTGGATTGAAGGAGGTGGGGGTCACCTGATATAAGAGGTAAAATTAGCAAGAAAATGGCCACCAAAGCTTGGTAAATTCCAAAGCTGGAGAGTCCATGGAAACTGTAAATTTATATTTTTGTCCCTTTAATCAACATTTTCGGTGAAATCCTCAATGAAATGTGTTTGTAAATGGACATAAAAGGTGTTGAGCCAAAAAAAAAAAAAATTTGATAAAAATTGCTAAGCAGGGAGAAAACTGCTGTTTTCTTTTATTTTATTATTTTGACAAGAGCCTGATTCCACCACGCTGCCTCACATTTGACTTTCACAAAACCCGAGATCATTACGCCACCCCCCCCCCCAAAAAAAAACCATCATTTGTAGCTATTACAATCCTTTACGTAATCATTATTGACCTGAAAAAGAATACAGTATCTAATTTATAAATAAATTTGCAGGTCATATTCAAGTAAATAAACATGAAAGGTTACCTTTTCGCAAAAAACCCCAAAAAAAACAACTACCAAAACAAAACCACACCCACAATCAGGCCCACGAGATAAAAATTAACATGCATTGAGTGTATTCGAGTGTGTGTTTGCATGTCACTATCAAAAATACTTTTTAAATTCATTTTCAATATGTAGAGTGTATACCTAATGGATAGTACAACTGATCATTCCACCGCAAGCGGCCGTAGAAACCAGCCCGTTTGTGAGCCTTGCCCGTCACAATGTCAATGTCAGGGGGGCGTTGGCCGCGCTGAGCAAAGTAGTCGCGGAAAGTGCGCAGATAGAGCTCTCCATTCTCCGGGGGTTCCCAGTTATCATTGTCTATGATGTACAGGACTGAAAGGGTCAAGGAATATTAATATTACCATGGGCTTTGAACATCTAGCTTGTTATTATTATTACCATTATTATTATCATTATTAGTATTTCTGTTGTCATTCTTCTCTTCTCATCATTATCATTATAATATTAATATTATCATCATATAAATAGCCTTTTGGGGGAAAAGAGAAGCAAATCTGCACAACAACGGTCATTTAAAGACAGGATGAAGAAAAGCAAGACATAAAAATAACACAGTCTTACCAACGTGGACAGTGTCATTAAAGGGGGAAAAGTTCCAAGTAGTCACTTGTACAGGTGATTGTCTTAGACAGGTGGCTATCAAAGTAGGCTCCACTGTACATTTTGCGTTCAAGGGCAGGGCAGTTAAACCAGCCTTGTAACTGTAATATTTTATCCCCATGTAGACACAATTCAGAAGATTTAGAACACGACTAAACTGAGAGGGACAACACATCTCAGCCATTAGACAGATGACAATACTTGATCAAATAGATATCCCGGCCTAGGAATCATTGAATTCCCAACTTTTGGGTGCTCCGATGAAGAACCTAACCACTGCACCACAGACACCAGTCAGCAGCGTGAGCCATGCACCACCAGTACGCACCTGTTCCTTCATCCGTGTTTTCATCTCGGTGGGTGCGTCGAGGGGTCAATGGGTCAGTCCTCACAGCAGCTTGAACTTTGGACCCTGATATATTGCATGACACAAATGTTTTAGTGAGGTTTTACGGCGCTAGCAAATGCATAAGGTCATATGAACGCTAAGGGGTGGATGTCAACAGAGAAGTACAAACGGAGAATCAGGCTTACTCTGCTCACCTCTCTAGCCTCAACAGCACAAGTCTGCTTCGACAGTCAAGTCAAGGCACCCCGGAAATAGCATTTCACAAAAGAGTGACAAACATACAAAAGAAGTAGAGGAAAAGTGGCGATAGTAAGGAAGAAGAAAGAAAAAGCAACAGTTCCCTCTATGTTGTTCTGGCACAGTATGAGCATGACATTGATAAATCAGCCCATTTACAATTCTACAGTGCGTATTGTTCATAGTTCATTGTTTTAGGAAGCAATATCCCCGCATTCTGGACATGTCCATTGATGCTCCGTTGCTCTCTCCAAAATGCCGTTGAGGGTCTTTCTACTGACTGTGCCAGTGCATATCTGGTTGAACATTTTTCTGTTCTTTCCTGCAAGGAAGCCAGATTTTCCGCTTACTTTTATATACTGTGCATAAGAATAAGTTAATATCCCCCCTTTGGGAATGGTATAAAGACAACTTCAGTCAGTAGCACTGCCCTGGTGGGCGGTCACAAGACACTACAAAGAAGATGGCATCATGGCATAGCCTTCACATTTTTTACTCGAGACCAAGAAATCTAAACAAAAGCTGGACATTTTGACCTAGTGAGACATTCACTGTTGCATCCCCATTAATCCAAAGAGAGATTTCAACCTGTCTCATTTAACAATTATTCAAAAAGTCATACACATCCTTTTTCATGCATGCACGCACACATGCACACACGCATGCACACACACACACACACACACCGAATACTCACCTGCACAACACAAATATGCTACAACAAATTCATGCCACTCACTCACATGTACAAACACACAGCAGCATCTGTGGTGTGATGGATTAGCTCTTTCCTGTTACACACAGGAAGAGACAGGAAACGAGGCTCTCAGCAGGATGGCCCAGTATATAATTATGATAGATACCATAATTCAAGTGTGATAAGTTCAAGAAGAAGCAGACAGGAAAAAGTGAGTCTGATTCATGAGCGGCAGAGAAAAAGAATGTTGAATATAAGAAGAATTATTTTATCAAGAATCTTTTATCGAGTCTGTTGGGATGGTGTGTATCTGAATCTGCCTTGGGTGGTTTTCCTAACAGGGAGGGTCAAAACAATTTGCTCCTTGAAAGATATAAATTGTGCCGATGGGGGGGTATAGTATTGTATTTAATATTTGTGAGGCAGCGTGGTGGAATCAGGCTCTCGTCAATTTTGGGATATATTGAGTTCTTGATATCATTTTAAAGCTTGTTCATTTGCCTTGCTTTCAATGAAAAAATTACTCATCCATTTTCCATAGAAATGGAGATATTTTGGATTGAAGGAGGTGGGGGTCACCTGGTTTAAGAGGTAAATTTGCGAGAGAACATGGCCCCCAAAGCTTGGTAAATTCTAAAGCTGGAGAGTCCATGGAAACTGTAAATTTATATTTTTGTCCCTTTAATCAACGTTTTCAGTGAAATCCTCAATGAAATGTGTTTGTAAATGGACATAAAAGGTGTTGAGCCAAAAAACAAAAATTTGATAAAAATTGCTAAGCAGGGAGAAAACTGATGTTTTCTTCGATTTCATTATTTTGACGAGAGCCTGATTCCACCACGCGGCCTCACATTTAAAAAAAATGTTTTTTTAACCAATAAGCTTGCTTCCTAACTGATCTAAACTGTGTCATCAGGGGCATAAAATAAAAGCTCGGACAAGAAAATTAAAAAACCAACACTACTCACCACCATCTCCATTCTGCTGTTGCCTGGCAAACCTGGGGGGTATGTCCTGTTTGAAGGCCATATGGGAAGCCTGCGGAAAAACAGAAAGGACACATTTTGAACTCTGAACAGAGTTTGCTTAGGCCACAACAAAACACCAACCTTTTACATCAAGTAACAATAAAAACATAAATTAATCTGAACACAGATTTTTTTTTTCATAAATGCGAGGAAAACAACAATTCTTTGCTACAGGTCACAAGAAAACATCAACTCCTGGATTATTTTTGTTCAGAAATGATAAGAAAACTAACTAACTTTTCACATATCAGCTCTTAACAGATATTTGTTCATAAAAGACGAAAAAAATTTCAATTTTTCGCAATAACTGACATTAAAACATCAACTAAGAGATACTTGTTTATAAAAAAAAAGATTAAAGAAAACCTCAGCCTTTCACATCAACTAACAAAAAAATCATCAATGTCTAAGAAATAGTAGTTCATGAAATATTTTTAAAAACTTCAATTTTTTACATCAACTGACAAAAAAAACACCAACACTATATTAATTGACAAGAAAACATCAACTCTTGCGGGGGTTTTGATTCATAAAACAAGGGAAAATATCAAGTAGTTAGTCAAGAGTCAGCACTTCAAACGATCACGGCACAGTATAAACATGACATAATAAATTAGAGCCAGTCTACAATTCTTCTGAGCCTAAGAACATGTTAATATCCCCCCCTTCAGGAATGCCCTAAAGACAATTTCAGTCAGTAACACTGCCCTAGTGGGGGTTGGTTCGACTGCATTACGTTATTGTAACAATACTTTCAGAACAACAGCTACCCATTTCAACTTAGTCAAGATTAAGACATCGAGGAACTGAGAAAAACCTAAAGAATTGAAACTATTAAAGTGAAAATTATCCTTCCGTAAGTTGAAATACAAATTTCAACATAACACTTGACCTACATATTTGTAAATTTCTTTCCTATTCCCACACATAGAAATTCTCCCTGGCAAATGTAAATGAAGAGAGCATGTATCATCAAAAACAATTTTCATCATGGAATATTTTTTGTTGGTCACCGGAGAAAAAGAATGTTGAATATAAGCAGAATTCATAACCAAAACCAAAGAGAAATGCGAAAAAATGAACCGGTCTAACAAAACAGAGCCCCCTTTTTCAGCTGTGAACTAATAGAAACAGCATCAGTGTCAAACAGAACTAAACTAATAGAAACAGCATCAGTGTCAAACAGAACTAGGCAACAAAAGCTAAACTGGGAAACTAGATGGCCACATGCAAAAAAGGGTTATACATAAAGGGAAAAAAACAAACAAAAACCAAAACAGCAACAACAAAAAAAGGGAAAAAAACAAACAAAAACCAAAACAGCAACAACAAAAAAAGGGAAAAAGAAGCATTCCCATGAACCGAGGCTGCTCAGGGGTGACCCCCCACTCTACCTTCCAACTCCCATACCTTTTTTTATTTATGAATATTTCTTCATAAATTGCTGCATATTTCTTCATAAATTGCTGCATATATACATTCTACATTGAGAACCACATTTCCAATGATATCATTTTGGGGGGTTTCATTGAGAGATAGATGGAGAAAAGTTGGAGCTAGTAATAAAACATGACGGCAAAAACAACACCAAATAACATATAAACAAAACATGTTTGAGTAATGATAAACTGATTTTTTAAAAAGGGGGAATGTATGTTGTGTAAGTGTTTGCAGATAAAGTGGAAGTGACAAGAGGCTTTTCCTACCTTATACAACGCTCGTACAATCCATTATATATATATATATATATATATATATATATATATACACATGTACGCCCATCTGTGTTTACTGCCAGTAAATCATTTTTGTGTGGTATCTAGATCTAGATGTGTATATCTAGATCTAATCTCTAATCTTCTCTTCAAGCTAAAATCTGAATCTGTTGCTTTCAAATGGGTGAAAAATGGAGGTAAACATAAAGGGAAGGTCAATAACAATTACAAGATTATGCGGTAACTTCCCTTATAATTGGCATCAGAACAACTCCTACCACAGTCCCGTAAATTCTACGGGCCATAGGCACAGCACCACACGGTTCAGGCCCGTAAATTCTACGGGCGCGGCAGCAAAGAGGTTAATGAAACAGAAATCTGTTGCCTCTAAATTACACAAAATATACTTTACATCGCTTTTTTCGTTGAAGAAAGGAACCGTGAAGTATTGACTAATAAAGGTTATTTTCCCGTCACTTTCTCCCCAAACACAACTATGCTGTCATTTGAAATAAAATCCTGGAACACAGTATCTGGGAATCTAGGTCAAATCAAACTTTCGACAGATTCAGTTTAATTGAAAATGTCCACATTTTTCTACACACAAGTATAATCAACTTTAAAAAAATAATCTGTAGATTCTCATTAGTTTACAGTAAAGAAACATATACTCTGTCACATCTTCAAGTATACACATTTTAAAGCTCAATAAAAAATAAACTAAGCATGCACCAATTACTTTCAAATTTACATAATGACTTTCTGATACACCTGTCATTGATGAGATGTCTTCAGATTTCTGAATGCGCGGGTGGTTTTGTTATTGTGTGCCTGTTACATGTTTAGTGGTTTTTTTTAGAAGTATTCATGACATGACAATGATTTGTTTAAAAAAGAAGTACAAGTACACATCAAAGCTTTGTCATTTTTGTAACAATTTGCCAAAGGTAAAAACTTGTGATGTCTACATTTCATAATGACACGCCAAAGAGAAACTGTGAAATCAGCATGTTGAAATGATCTGCGGAGGTTACTCAGCGAGACATTTTAATGTACCTAGAAGAGCTGTGTACTCAATAATGGATCATGAGTGAACAGGACCACAAAAGGATCAACCCCGTCGACTTGGGAGAAAAAAAACTACTCTAAGAGAGGATCTTTTTATACGCCTGTTGCATCTATGAAATCATTTTAAAAAAGCAAGACAAACCAGAAATGAGTTGAACAACATGCGACCTGTCAACCAGATATAAAAAATGACTGTATTGAGAAGGTTCAAAGAATTTGGACTCTGAGAAAGACGCCTAGCTCCTCCCATCAGATTGACGCCCTACAACATCAGAAACACCCATTTCCTACAAGAAAACAACATCCCAGTTCTTCAACCGTGTCTTGCCTACTCACCAGATTTTAAACCCATTGAGCAGCTATGAGACTTTTCGATTGTAGTGGCATTCAAAGGAGACAACACCAGCCTCAGACACTTCCTCAACTTGAGAGAACATCGCATGAAGAGTGAAATAGTCATCCCTCAACAGGCAGAGCAGCAATTGATTGATTCCAAGTGGCAACAATGTCAGACCGTCATCAATGCAAGAGGACATCATGTGTGCTACTGATCATGCTACTTTTATAGACCACCCCCACACTCTTGTAAGTCGGGAATAAACCTGTTATGTTAACTTTACGTATTGTTTGTTTTGGGTTTTTTTCACTTTTAAAAATGATTGAATTTGTATTCCTGAAAAGTTTAAGAATATCGGCTCATTGTGAAACCAGCAATTTCAATTTGAACACAGTGAACACTTAAATATGTGACAGAGTATTTCATTATCCATTTGAAATGGCTATTTAGAGAAAGGCAACAGCAAGAGAGACAGAAAAGAAAAAGCAAACAAAAAAAACAGGACCCATAACACCAATGGCCCTCTCCGCCCACCCATAATGATCTCACAAAAAATGGCAAACAGACATTAACTTATCAGCTAGTAGCAAAGCAAACATCATATTTGAGGTAATGAACAAAACGTCAGTCCGGGACTGACAAAGTGCTAAAATACCTTCTTCTCATTGGTGTTTTCAGTCATTATCATGATTTGACGTAAAAATTCAACATCCTGAAAACATGCAATCAGCATCGTTTCAAACGTAAAACATGTCAAATACTACTGTTACAAGCCTAGCAGTTTCTGTTCTCTCAAACTCATTTTCACACCACCACTCTTTTTTTTTAAATATTTTTTTCTAAATAAAAAGCTGTAAGTAATCTCTACAAAAGCATTTTCATGCCGTTAGAAGTCTATCGATTAGGCTGCCTGATTGGCAACCCTGTAGTCACGGGTGCAAAACCTGGCTCTGCGTCTGACATTGCTTCAATGGGAAAGGCATGCTGCATTGCAATAAAATCTTCTTGCTTTAATCATTACCCTTACAAGAGACAGCGAAGGACCTTGCCAGTATACTGGTGTATAAGCATCTGTAGCAGTGGCAGTTTACACAAAATACTTCCCAAAAAACTCCATAAACATATGATGGATATGAAGTCTGAGACAAAATTTTTAATTGATTTATTTTATTTAAAACATACCTTGTGCAATTCCATCATGATAGTTGGTCATTTATATAGAATTTTTATGTTTAAAATGTGATGTGCATATCATGATCAATTGTGCTATGACGATATGAATGCCTCTTTATGCGTTAGTTATAATCTAAAAAGCATTATCAAATTTATGTACGTTCGTTCACTATTCACGTGTATCTGTGTAAAGGTGAAGATATTGTCAAGTGCCTAGCGCTGTATTGTATTGTATAGGAATGTGAGCTAAAAACATTATCTTCAGTACCAGTATAATTATAACTCTGTATAACCAAAGTTTAGAGAATGTGGGTTGGATACAGAAAGTCAGACAAACCTTTTTTAAAAGCACTTTCCACAACAAGTCATTTTGATGAGACAAGAAAAGGACAATTTCCTACATGACCTCAAAAACATCTTTACACCAAAAGTTGTTTATAAGCATCTTTCATTAGCATGCAATGAAAATACCACGTAAAGAATTGTTTTTTCTTTTCTTATCTAGCACTTTGTTTTTTTCCTTAACTAGCTTTTTAGCTGGTCATTTAGAAAAGTAGAGATACATTCAAAGAAATTGAGACAACATGAATGCCACTGAAATTTTGAGGAATTGTATTTGCAAACAGAAAGACACCTAACAGACACAATTAATATTTTAATAAGACTTTAAACAGAAAATAAATGCTGAGATTAAATGTTCTTCTTCCATTCTTTTGTTTGAAGAAAACAACGTACAAGTCTGGATTTTGCTGCTATTCTAATTTTTTGGATAAGATGCTGCAATTTAAATAAACGAAAAGGGACAACAACCATAATGAGAAAGGTCAATTCTAAAAATGTGGCACAGGTAAAAGAAAACAAAATGAAACTCCCAAAACCAACACAAAAGAAAAAAAAAAGCATGACTCACCACACCCTGCCGTTTGCCCTTGCCCCGGGCTCTGGAGGATCCCCAACCTCCTCTTCCCTCCGTAGATGTCCGTGCCCATGTGTCCTGCAAAGTCTCTGAACTCTGGCTCTCTGCAGACTGGTGGCGACTGCGCTTCTCATTAAGGAATGCCCGCAAATCTCGTGTCTGTCCACCTGGGGGGGGCGCATGGTCCTCTGATTCGGTAGAAATGACCCTCTGACCATTTTTGCTCACGCCGATTTTCAGATTGACCATATCAGTGCATAGATTCTCTTTGTTCAACTCGTTGTTCTCCGCATCGCCCTCCCACCGGTCATAGCTCGTATCTGCTTGACCGTTGTCCCGAGCCCCCAACACTGGGCGACGATTTCTCACATCCCACGATGAACTGAAATCCGAGGAACCATGACTAGTATCGTACGTCTCCAGCTTCTTGAAGGCAAACGCAATGGAGGACTTGCTCACAGTTGCAGTGGAGGAGCTCTCTCTCGAGGAACGTTCCCTTTCTTGCTGGTTCATCTTGGTGCGAACGTCAGTGGCACCTAGACTGCTCATTGTGGAGAATGATGGTAGTCGGCCTCCTCTGGTACTCACATGTCCTTTGGGCAGTCTTGGCTTGTTTAATGGAAAATGAGTGGAGCCTCCCTAAAGAGAACAAAGTATTTTTTTATAATCACCCACCAGAAAAGAAAAAGAAATGAAATGCAAACAACATTTTGTTAATAGCAAACAAAGAGGTGCAAAAGGTGAGGGGACCGTGGAAAAGGATTTGAAATAAAAAGGAATAGGGAAAAAGAAAAAAGAAAAGGCAGTAAAGAGAAGTAAGAAAAATAATTTGTATTGCCGACATTTCGGTACTTATCCATCACAAATACAATCATTTCTGAAGCAGTATATTTCAGAGTTCAGAAAAAAAAAATCAGCATGCGATGCTAAGTGCAGGTATTTTATAATAAAAACATTCCCAAAACAATGGCTTCACCATGCAAGATCGTCTCATCAAAACCGATTAACACATCATGGCATTTTTATTGTTCCTGTGCCCATCTCCCAACAGTAACAGCTGTACCAAAAAAAAATTAACACAATCCCAGTTCAATAAAAGTAAGATAAGATAAAGATACATCTTTATTGTCCAGATCCTGGCACATTGGTTTGGTGTTTCACCACATGTACACACACACACACACACACACACACACACACACACACACACACACACACATGCACACACACGTAGGCTTACAATCACATGCATAATATAAATGAGCAGCAATATAAACAATAATAATCGTAAGCTAGATACACACTCAATGCTCAATGTTATTAAATTTTGTTGCATTCTCTCTTACAACGTAAACTTTTTTTCAAGTCAAAATAGTCTACACTGGAAAATAAATAAATAAATAAAATCTGAACCTAATAGATACAAAATACAACTTAGTGCGCCTGAGAGAGAGAGAGAGAGAGAGAGAGAGAGAGAGAGAGAGAGAGAGAGAGAGAGAGAGAGAGAGAGAGAGAGAGAGAGAGAGAGAGAGAGAGAGAGTAAAGGTAGAGACAGAGACAAAAAAGTGGAAGGGGAAGAAAAGGGGAAAAAATGAAGCAAATCAAACTCACCCTCCCTCCTCTGCCTCTGTCCCCTCCGCCTCTGGTCATTCCTCCACGACCTCTCACAAAGCCTCCTCCTGCAGCCCCGCGACCTCTCCCACGACCTCTCACAAATTTGCTCTTTTTCTTGGTGACTGTCCTCTGGTTACTGACCAGTTTCTGAATGTGAGCCGTTGACTCATCACACACGGCTTTGTACACAGTGTCTCCATTCGGATTCCTGGAGATAAGTTAAGAGATACGCAAAAGTCAGCCTTTGATCGTTTTTGTTTGAGTAAAGAAAAGCTTACACCCGCAAATCACCTCTAAGTGTTTAGAAAATGCAAGACAGACATACAAAAACGACAAAAGGATGGTAAAAAAGTAGGATCTACCAACCAGTGGTGCTCTCCGGCCCCCTCCAGTTAAGTTGAGACAGTTTTAGTTTAGTTTAGTATGGGTTTTTCGGCGCTCGCAACTGCATAAGGTCATATGAGCGCCAGAAGATTAGAGGTGTTACAAGAGAGTAACAAACATATAAAAGATGAAGGGGAGATAAGGACGATAGATGTTTGAGAGGAAAGAAGAAGCAAACCACACCAGAGCACCCGCCAACCACCCACTGAGACAGTTTATCCAAAAGTTAGTCTTACAAAAGTGAGGAGACTCAACATACACACACATTTTAAAAAAACCCAACCCAAAGAATACCCATACTCAAATATCGACCTACAGCAGCAGACAAAAACATGGCCGTATGAAATCAGACTAAGATTGAATTCAAAGGGGGGAAAAAATGACAGGATGAAGACAGTAACAAACAACAGGAACGACAACAATAACAATACAGTGGGCCTAACAAATCATCATCTTCGTCCAGCAGGTGAGTAGACAGATAAGACATGCCCAGGAGGACACAATGACTGACACAGCACTACACAACAACTGGATATAAAAAGCAGATTTTGACAGACACAGTAGTTAGGCTCCAACCCATTTATTCTTAAAGGAAACAACGACTTGTAGGTGATACTGACACTCGAGGAAAGACAAGAAGTCTTCTTAAAAACAAAAGAATCAAATAATAATGAAATTCATATATATATATATATATATATATATATGTATACTTAATTGGTGTTTTGGTAAAAGTTTTCCAGCGCTGGCAACTGCATAAGGTCACATACGAGCATGGGACCCAGGCTGGCTGTTTTCACGTTAGTTCATAGACTAGCTTGATGTTACTTTGTGGTTGAAGTTACAAATTAATGGTAATAATTCAATAGCAACAACAGTCATTTACCCGCCGTTTTTTCTTTATAAGAGAGAACTGAGTGAAATGATAGACCGTACTCGTACCATGAGGCCACCGCCTCAATATTTTATCAAACAACAACCCCTGAAAACACCTGTCTAAGATGGCAATGTAAATCTCTCATTCATTATAAAACATCCACCCCTAGACGCTGTGGACGAGCCATCATAATCCATTCACCTGTCGTTATTGTAAGTCCCTCCAACGAACCAAAGTGGTTTGCGTTGTTTTCGATACAAGTAAGAACCACGGGCTTTATACTGATTTCTACGACACTCTTACTGTAATTTTATTAGCACATTATAACTAAGCTTATATTATATACAGCACTTGTCATAGTACTGTGCACAGAAGCAAGGTAATAAGTGTGATTTTCTAGTGTCATCCTCCCACAACAAAATTACTTCACATAGGAAAACTGCCCTTTTCCCAAAATATTCAAAGTATACTGTTTTGGACTAGAAGAAAAGGGAAGAATTTGTTTGTATGTATGCCTCCGTAAAGAGTAAACAAATCTACATTAATAATTACACAGACATTATAACAATAATTCAATGGTGGGATAAAGAAGAGAGGGAAACAAAAACAACAGTGGGAGAGTAAAGAAGCCCAACCTGCCAACCTACTGCCAAACACCACAACATAAATGAAAGAAAAAAAAGTTAATGAAAAATAAACATGTTGGGGGGAAAAAAACAGAACAATAACCAGTAAGAATGTTAACAAGAAAGGAAAAAAACAAACAAACAAAAAAACAAAAAAACAAAAAGAAAGAAATATAGCCAGATAGACTAAAAGTATTCCAGCACAAAAGACATCCAGGAACAACATGAGTGACCCATACCTCACTTCCACAGCCACATCAGGAATGGAGCGCATGAAAGACTGGACATCCTTGAACCCCAGGTCTCGGTATGGAAGGCGACTACATGAGAGCATCTCATAGTCCTCTGAAAACAACAGGATACCAAAATTATATTTGTGATTGGGAATAGAGAACGTAAAATACAATGAATTTTTTCATATGAAGGAAAGACTCTATGAAATGAACATTTTGTCATGAGTCCTGAACAAAGTTATGAAGAGCTTATATGTATAAATCTCCAATCTCCATCTCCAAATTTGCAGCACATGAAAACAACTAAGAGCCCACTACTACAAGGTCTCATCAGACAGGATCAGTACATCAAACTGTGAACTTGGTGATGCTTTAGTTTTGCAGACCACAGCACTTGCAGTCTTTCCTTTCAGCTTTAAAGTTGAATTTGCTAGACAGACTGGAGCTCATACTGGAGGACTGCCCACTGTCCAATCGAGTGTATGCTTAATGTGGTATCTGTTGGCAGTGAGCCTGCCTTTTGTTCTTCAAATTTGAATTGGTGTGGTCCCAAAAAACACAATGATGCGTTATGACATGAGCATGGACTCGGTCCGAGATGAAAAGCTATGCACTTTGAACATGCTATGAATGGAAAAAGCAATGGGATTTTTTGACAAGGTGGACGACATACAGTTTTTTAATATCGAAAGGTAAATTTTTCTTTTTAGACCCGCACGCAGATGCACTGTTTGGAGGGGTAAACTACTATCATTTTTGCTGCAGAACATACATATGATCACTAAAGCCCTTGCAAATCAATTGTTTTCAAGTAAATATCAATCTTAATAGCCAAAACATCAAATCATGGTGAAATGCAGGGGGGGCATGCCGATTGCAATATAGTTTGAATATCCATATCTCATAACTAATAATTTGAAGTGGATATAAAGTCAACATTTGTGTATAGCTGATAAAAATGAACAAGAAAAGTGCTTTAGAATATCTAAGCTTGAGACGCGTCCATGAGTAAAAAATAATACCAATCCAAAATTGTCAGTGATACAAAAACTTGAAAACATGAATTCAGTATGACAGCACAGATTTTAATCATCCTGACCCCAGGAAAATCCACGACAATAGGTCTGGATAAAATTGCACTAATCTAACTCGCCTCAACACAATTAACTCAAACTCTCTATCTGTATTGGTCTGTAAGTCTTGAGAAGTACCTTTCTCATGAAAATAATTTAGGAAAAACTTAAATTTGAATGATCAAGGAAAGTAACATGTACTCATGATGATGTAATGAAAGGTAATACACGTGTAGCACTCACTTTGAATTTCATCCAAGGCTACTCCAAGCTTGGCACTGAGCAGAATAGATCGCAACTCTCGTTTCACCTGATCCAGAGCAGAGGCTCTCTGACTTTCCGTAGACAGCATGATGCTGCAGACTTTAGTCAGCAGTCTTGTATCAAATTCACTTCTTCAGTAACTTAGTAAGTGAATGTGATTATCTAAAAACAAAGTCTCTGAAAAAAAAAAAAGATGTAATATCAACTGATGACTATGAGTACTCAAGTACGGTTCCCAGAGGCTGTCGCTGACTTTCCGTAGACAGCATAATACTGCAGACTTTAGAATGCAGTTTATCGTATCAATCAAATTCACTTTACTTTAGTTTACTTTCGTAAGGGAAAGGTGACAAGTTCAATCAAAATATCAGGGAACAAAAATGATGGAATAATCGACTAATTATGACTATGAGTAATATCACCTAAATTTTACCGAGTCTATGGAGCATCAGAAATAATTTAAAGAACATACAAATTAAACATTAAGTTTTAAAAACTCCAATGCCCCATCTGATTATCAAAGAGGTGTGACAAACAATAAGACATTGCATGTGACAACTTGCCACAATGCATTCACAGGAAACAAATTTGAAATTTGAACAAAGAGATGTTACTAAATGATATTGATAAACAGTCTGCCCATCATAGCACAGACACACACAGAACAATACAGAGAATAAGTTGTGCAGGCCAAGATAAGTTTCAGGTTTAGTTTATGTAATGGGCTGGGTGAAGGTCATTGCAAACAACAGTGAAAAAAATTAATATTTTTTTTTAAAGTTTTAAAGAACTTTACACTATATGCTGCTAATAAGTTAGGAAATGGCTGTTCTCACCCAGGGTGAGAATAAAAATACGATCGACCTCTCACCCACGGTGAGACTTGCCAGCGTTGGCTATTCTCACCTGGTGAGAAACAAGACCTGTTTTTCCTAATTTCAGAATACTGTTTATTGGTGTGGATGATCAAATTGAGAAAAGGAAGTGGCTATTCGGACTCGAGCCGCTGGAAGCTATTCGGACTCAAATTCCAGTGCACTTGCGCAATCACCGGTTGTACCATACTTTTTTGTATCCGGCGAGGTCTGGGGCGACCACCCCCGACCCACCGCGTCCATAGGTGGCGGATAGTGGAACGGCCTACATTATGTTGGGTAGCTGCGAATGACCAATAAACAGCCGCGGACCAACTGGCAACAGTCTTGGAGAGCGAAGTGGGACAGGGTGGTGGCAACCCTGTCTCTATAAAATACCTCATGTGCTCAGTAAAGAGACTGTCAGGCAAGAAGGAGGCGCCGAAACCTGCCACCTGCCCCCACTGCCTTGCGGGTTAGTCCTTTGGGACAAAGGCTAGCGGAGTAAACCGTACAAAAATCCAGCAGAAGGCAAGGGGAAACCACTGCTGTATTCTTTCCCTAGAACATTATGGATCATAACATTTCAATAAATAAAGATAACGACATAAAGGGGAGCTCTGAAAGAACTGCCTCATCCGGTAGGGTCAGTCATGCACAGCAGGTGACACCAGATCGTCATCAAGATACTGCTCACAAAAGGAAAAATCAAACAAGAAACATAGCAACCTGGAATGTGAGAACAATGCTTGAGAAAGGAAAACTGGACAACATCAAGAAAGAAATGAAGAGAATGAATGTTACCATCGTCGGTTTATGTGAAGTACGATGGACAGGAGCTGGCAGAATATTGTCCGACAGCTATAACATCATATTTACTCAGGAGGCGACAAACATGAAAGAGGAGTAGCGGTCATCATGGACATGCCAACATCGAAGACACTTAAGGGGGTAACTGACAATATCAGACAGAGTTATGCTGGTGAGACTGAAAGGATCACCCTTCGATACAACCATATGTGCCAACCTCAGAAAGCACAGAAGAAGATATAGAGAAGTTTTATGATGGAATAAACCAAGCAAAGACACATTGTAAATCACAAGATAATATTGTCATAGTCATGCGAGATATTAATTAATAATTAATGCAAAAGTGGGAGAAACAAGACATGAAGACATAGTGGGTCCATATGGACTGGGAACCAGAAATGAAAGAAGAGAAAAACTGATAGAATGGGCCATCCTGAATGACATCATTATTGGAAACACTTGGTATGAGCAACCATCAAGAAGATTATAGACCTGGAAGAGTCCTGGAGACAGCGTTCGCAACCAGATCGACTATATCATGATCAAGAAAAGATACAAAAACGGGATGCTAAATGTCAAAACGCGGCCAGGAGCAGACTGTTACAGTGACCATGTGCCCGTAGTGGGAAAATTTAGAATCAGATTGAAAAAAACACACATGAGCAAGAACAAGAATATGAAACTAAACATGGCATTACTAGTCAAACAAAGAAATGCAAGATAAATTCAGAATAACTGTACAGAACAAATTCGGCTCCTTAGAAGAAATACAAGACACAGAAAAACAATGGGAACAGCTTAAAACATACCTATAAATGAGGCTGCAAAAGACATCATACCAGAAAGGACAACAAAAGCAAAGAAAAAATGGATGACTAAAGAAATTCTTAATCTTGTCTTATGGAGGAACGAAGAACAAACAAAAATAATATGGAAAAATAGATGAATCTTCATAAAGAAATCAGACACAAATGTAATCTAGCAAAAGAGACCTGGTTAAAAGAACAATGTGAGGAAATGGAAAATCATTCCAATGCGAACTCAAAAGATCAGCACAGAAAAATTAAAGAGGTGTGCCATACAAGAACATGTGGATCAACAGGATGCCTCAAATCAAAGGATGGGAATATCATAGGACAAAGACAAGATACTAGAACGTTGGACAAAATATATCGGTGACCTGTACAATGACAAAAGAGATGAACAAAGAAGGGTGGAAAATAACAACGAGGGACCATCAATCATGAAAGAAGAAGTTATCAAGGCACTACATAAGATGAAGAATGGGAAAGCTGCATGACCGGGCAACATTACCACAGAGATGATTAAAGTTTTAGAGGACTTTAGAATCACCACGCTGACAAAACTTCTTAACAACATGTATGCCACTGAACATATTCCATCAGACTTGTCAAAATCTATCTTCATAGCTTTACCAAAGAAACCTAATGCAAACGAATGTGAAACGCATCGTACCATCAGCCTCATAAGCCACATTTTTATAACAAAAATACTACTCAGAATAATTATGATGAGAATACGAAATAAAATTCTCCCAGAAATAGCCCAAGAACAGTGTCGATTGAAGGCAAAGGCACTGTAAATGCCATATAATATATGTCATCAGAACAACAATAGAACGTGCCCTAGAAGTTCAGAAAGATCTTCATTTATGTTTTTTATAGACTACACCAAGGCATTCGACAAAGTTAGGCACGACAAGATCATCGACATGCTGGAAGTCCTCAATATCGACGGGAAGGACTTAAGGATTATCAAGAACATGTACTGGGATCAAACTGCTGCAATTAGAATAGAAAACAACATCAGCGAATACATACAGATTAAAAGACGAGTCAGACAAGGATGTGTACTTTCTCCATATGAGACACATAGAAGAAATGCCTGGTACCTCGATAGGGGGACATAATATAAACAATCTAAAAATGCAGATGACACAGTCCTAATAGCAGAAG